GGGGCCTGAACTCTGGGCCTGGGCACTGTCCCTCAGCTCTTCAGCTCAAGGCTAGCACTCTACCACTTGAGCCACAGTGCCACTTCCGGCTTTTTTCTTATGTGGTGCTGAGGAATCGAACCCAGGGCCTCGAGCATGCAAGGTAAGTGCTCTACCACTGAGCCGCCTTCCCAGCCCCTCTTCTTTTTTTTTGTCAGCCATGGGTCTTGAACTCTGGGTCTGGGCACTGTCCCTGAGCTCTTCAGATCAAGGCGAGCACTCTACCACCTGAGCCACAGCACTACTTCCAGTTTAATGGGGGGGGGTTAATTAGAGGTAAGAGTTTTGTAGACTTTCCTGCCTGGGCTAGTATTAGAGGTGTGAGCCACTGGTGCCCAGCATCACTCTTTTCTTAATGTATGATAATGAAAGCTCTACTCAAATACACAGGCTGAAAGCAAACAAATCACTGAGCACATTCTAAGTTCCATTGATTTACCTTTGAACTCTACTAATTTAAGTCTGTCTGGTCTTTATTTCTCCATTTGTCCTGGTACAAGCAATCCATTCTCCTCAGAAACCAGTGGTGGCTCATGCCTGTAATCCTAGCTACTTAGGAGGCTGAGAGCTGAGGTTCAGATCTGAAGTCAGCCCAGGCAGGAAAGTCTATGAGACTTATCTCCAATAAACCTCTCAGAAAAAAAGCTAGAAGTTACTCTATGGCTCAAGTAGTAGTGGACTAGCTTTGAGCATAAAGAAGCTCAAGGATAGCTAGGCCCTGAGTTCAAGCCAAGGACAGCAAAAAAAAAAAAAAAGTTGAGGACTTCCATGTGGTAGTGCATCTGCTTAGCAAGCAAAGACCATAAGCTCAATCAAACTCCAGTAACACTGAGGGGGAAAAGCCATTCAGTCACTCTCTTACTTAGTTGCTTTTCTTTCTCTTTCTTTTTCTTTCCTTCCTCTTTCTTTCCTTTTTTCTTTCTTTCTTTTCTCTCTCTCTTTTTTTTCTTTCTTTCACTTGAACTCAGAACTTGAGTACTGTCCCTGAGCTTTTGTGCTCAAGACTAGTGCTCTACTACTTGAATCACAGCCTCACTTCCAGCTTTTTTTGGTAGTTAATTGGAAATAAGAGGCCAGGACTTTCCTACTTGGGCTGGCTTTGAACTGTGATCCTAAACTCCCAGCCTCTGAGTAGCTGGGATTACAGGCGTGAGTCAATAGCACCTGGCCTTTCTACCCATATTTTAAAAATCACATGAGATGATGACTATGGAAGCATTACCTCATTTAAGCCTCGGTGGTATCCCAAGGTGTAGGTAATATCCCCGCAGAAAACAAATTCGTTCAGAGATAATAATTGGATGGGGCCAAGTTTTTTTTTCTTTTTTAAATGCAAGGCTACTTAAAAAAATTTTTTTTTTGTCTGCGTTGCTAAGCATCAAACTCCAAAGCCATTTTGTGATAGGCCAAGGTGATTCTTAATTTAAAAAATTTTTTTTTTGTTAGGTGCAGGTAGCTCTCCCAAGCTTGGAAAGCCAGTCATCCCTGCCCTGCAGATGCAATCCGGAGGCAGGCAAGCCTAGCGGGGGAGCGCGAGGGCGCATGCGCGGCTCCGCCCCGCGCGCACTGTTTAATCCCAGAATCCCTCTGTGTCGCACCCGAACGGCCGCACCGTTCCGAGCCTCCGGAGGCCGGCGCAGCTGCGTCAAGATGGCGGCGGCGGTGGCGGCGGCGGCGGCGGCGGCGGCCGCAGCTGCATCCCTTCAGGTGCTGGAGATGGAGAGCATGGAGACGGCCACCACTGGACCAGCAGGGCTGGCGGCCGAGGTCCGAGGCAGCGGCACCGTAGACTTCGGATCCGGGCCCGGGATCTCTGCCATGGAAGCCGGCGGCGGCGACCCGGGCCCCGAGGCCGAGGATTTCGAGTGCAGCTCCCACTGCTCCGAGCTCTCCTGGCGGCAGAACGAGCAGCGTCGCCAAGGCCTCTTCTGCGACATCACCTTGTGCTTCGGCGGCGCCGGGGGTCGCGAGTTCCGGGCCCACCGCTCGGTGCTGGCCGCCGCCACCGAGTACTTCACGCCTTTGCTCTCGGGCCAGTTCTCCGAGTCCCGCTCGGGCCGGGTGGAGATGCGTAAGTGGAGCTCGGAGCCGGGGCCCGAACCCGACACCGTGGAGGCCGTTATCGAGTACATGTACACCGGCCGCATCCGGGTCAGCACTGGCAGCGTGCACGAGGTGCTGGAGCTGGCCGACAGGTGAGCTAGGGCCATGCCCGCCCATCGCCGTCATTTACTGCGCCTGTGTGTGTGTGTGTGGCGGAGGGGAGTGGGGGGGGTCGCCACCGCTTCGGGCATGGACGTTGACCACCCCCCCCCCCACCCCCCGAGCCCGGCCAGAGCGCCCGGTGCCTGGGGAGCTCAGACATTCCGGTGGAGGAGAGACAAAGGCAACGAAAAAGTCCGTAAGGTGATGATGATTGTTGAGATGATATTTAAAAACCGGTGCTAGGCTAGAGGAAAGGCCTTTCCCAGGCGGTGACATTTCAACAGACCTCCTAAGCGTGGAGGAAACTAGCACTAGAAAACTAGTGCAAAAGATGAGAGTGGGTGGTGGATGAACATTCCGGGCAGCGCAGAAGCCCTCAGGCATGATGCTGTTTGGTTTAGAGAAGTTACTTGGGAATCTCTTCCTGAGGCTAGGTCAGGTAGGTGTGAACGGTAGGGTGTGGGAGATGAATTGGGATGAGTTTTTACTGACTGCCACGGGAAGCAGGGTCAAAAAATACTCTGATTCAAACATTGGAAGAGATTAGCCCGCTGCCGTAGTGAAGGGATCTAGGTAGCAAGAATGGATGCTCTGGAGGAGAGTTCTGGCCTTATGTGTTGCACATTTCTTTGTTTTGACAAATACCTATTGAATATCTATTATGCCTCAGGATGAGACCCTGGACTCTAAGGTGCTGGGAATTCAGCAGTGAACAAAAGAGACAAAAGTCTCAGCCCTTTCTCATTGTATTGGTAGACCTAGCCTGTTGAATGATTTGTTTTAGCTGAGATGAAAACTGTGGCCGTGGGGGTGGGGGCACAGTGTTAATTCTGTCTGATGTAGAGAGAGGACTGATTTTTTTTTAAAGTTGTATGGATGAAGAATGCTGAGAAAAAATAGCAAAGAAATAAAGGAGATGAGGTAGAGGGTGCTTCAGGTAGGAGACCCAAATGCAAAGCTCTGAAGTGGAGCTTATCTGAGCATAGGGAGCATCTGAAGCTCATATAGTTGGAGAGGGATGGAAGGAAGGGACGCCTCAGGATGATCATGTGATTAGAAACACATCCCACAGGGCCTCCTTGATTGAACTTGAGCATTTACAGTGAATGAGATGGAAAGAATGATGCAGTTTGACTTGAATTATGTGTTGAGAAAAGGATGAAGCAGTGGGGAGCATGTATCAAGGACAGAAGCAAGAGACTAGCTTAACTGGACTGAGAAGGGCAAAGAGAAGGTGATAAAAGGGCACATACCAGAAGAAGATATGCACTTGCCATTAGATTAGATGTGGATGTAAGGGAAGACAGTTTTTTTAGCCCATGCCCAAGTAGAATGATGAAGTTGTTATTAAGATGTGGAAGATTGCAGAAGAGCAGGAGGAATGTCAGCTTGGACCTGTTCAAGAAGTTGTCAGGATAGGCAGTTGAGTAGAATAGCATTGAGCTTCCAAGACCAGCTACGGAGAAACGATGGAAAGAAACAGTGCAACCATAGAGAATGCCTTATTAGGCAGGGACATCACATTGAACACTGAGAATCAAATGTAAGTTTAAACTTAAAACAATTTAGGGGTGGTGGCATATGTCTTTAATCTCAGTCTGGAAGCTGAGCAAGAAGACAGAATTCAAGGCCAGCTTGAGCTACATAGCAAGACTCTGCTTCAAAATAAACAAATAGCCAATCTGATCACAACTCTCCAGTGGAAAATTCTCCGTACCCCAGTTAAACCTAGACATTAGGTATTCATATATATTTCTGTGTATTAACGTTAACATAAAGCAGGGACAATTTACCAATTGAAACAACTAATATACTTTAAGGTATATGCAAAACAACTAATACATTTTAAGATATATGCCAAAAAAAATAAGTAAATAGGTTGCATTGGGAAGGCAGGTACAGGGTGTAGTAGGCAGGAGTTGTAGTTGGTATCAGGAGATGAAATTCCTGCTCACTGATTTGGAGCATTTTCTTAGGGTATGAGGCTGAGTCATCAAAAGGTGGGACAGGAGGGGTAGCATCTTGACAAGGTTGTTTATGTCTGACATGATTTTGTGTTTTTCAGATTTTTATTGGGCAGTTAGGAGTGAGGAGGAGGGGGTACTCGAGGCAATTTTCTTTTTTTTTAATTTAATTTAATTTTATTTGTGAACATACTGTACAGAGGGGTTACAATTACATGGGCAGGATAATGTGTGCATTTCTTACCAAGCATTGCAGCCTCCTCCTTTGTTTACCCTTCACATCCCTTCCCAGCCTCCCCCCTTCCCCCTCGAGGCAATTTTCTTGAAGCTAGAACTTCTCTCCATCTTTCAGAGTCTGAGCATCTCTCTGTGTCAGGTGCTCTTCACGATGTTCTTCGATCATCACGTTTAATCTTTCCATCAGTTCTGAGGCAGATCTCCCCTCTTCCCACACGTGCTCTGCTGGTGATTCAGCCCTGCAGGGCACTTGTAAGAAAGAACCAGAAATAATAGGACATGCCTGGCATCCTCCTATGATGCCTAAGGTGTGATAGCTGTGTTTTGTTTATATGTTTTCCCTAAACCTGTCTTAAGGGAATGTACTTTAGAATCTGGTGACCTTAGCATCCCAACATGTCAGAGAGTCACTAGAGCCTTTTACTACACTTTGTCTTTGTTTATGTCTAAGATGGTATGTTTCTTTCAGAAGGTGAAGAGAGAGAACCTTTTCTCCCCTTAAAGATAAATGTAGCCCTTTCTAGCTTCAAACTCAAAAATCTTTTGTTTCAGCCTCCCAACTACTAGGTGTATAGGCATGCTCCACTAGGTCCAACTCCTATTAGTTTTTATATTGTAGCTAAGGTAGTTATTAAGCACAATAACCATAATAATAAACAGTTAATGAATTGAGGTGAGCCTGACTTGGAAAAGTTATCTTTATATGTTTAAGTTGGTTCTTAGCTAGGGATGTCTTCAACTTTTTTTTTCTTTTTTTCTTTTTTTTGCTGGTTCTGGGGCTTGAATTCAGGGTCTAGAAGCTGTTCCTAAGCTGCTTCTGCTCAAGGCTAGCACTGTACCACTTGAGCTACAGTACTACTTCCAGCCTTTTCTGAGTAGTTTATTGGAGATGAGTCTCACAAACTTTACTGCTACTGCCTGGACTGGCTTCGAACCATGATACCCAGATCTCAGCCTGAGTAGCTAGGATTACAGTCCTGAGCTATTGGCCCCCAGCTGTCTCCTTTTTTTTAAAACAGTGGTCTTATATTGGCCACCCTTGGGCTGACTGCTGTTAGATTTATGATTTGTGTTAGAATTTTGTGCTGCTTTAAAGAATTTGTGTAACAGGCAACATTCTGTCATCTATATGCCAAACTATTTCTGTTGGTTTTTTTGTTGTTGCTTGTTTTTTTCTGCTAGTCCCAGCACTTGAACTCAGGGCCTAGGCACTGTCCCCGAGCTTCTTTTGCTCAAGGCTAGCACTCTACCACTTGAGCCACAGCGCTACTTCTAGCTTTTTTTTTTTTTTTTAATGTGGTACTGAGGAATTGAACCCAGGGCTTCATGCATCCTAGGCAAGCACTCTACTACTAAGCCACATTCCCAGATCCCATTCTTTCTTTCTTTCTTTCTTTCTTTTGCTTGCTTTCTGTCTTTCTTTCTTTCTCTCTCTCTGTTTTTCTTTCTTTCTTTCTTTTTGGTCAGATGTGTAGGGCTTGAACTCTGGTCCTGGGCACTGTCCGTCAGCTCTTCAGCTCAAGGCAAGCACTCTTAACACTTGAACTACAGTGCTTCCTGTATTCTGGTGATTTATTGGAGATAAACATCTTCTGGACTTTCCTGCCTGGGTTGCTTTGAACTGAGATCCTCAGATCTCAGGCTCTGTAGTAGCTAGGATTTCAGGCATGAGCCACCAGCACCCGGCACTACTTCTGGTTATTTATTTATTTGGTTGTCGATCGTGGGAGCCAAACTCTGGGCCTGAGCGCTGTCTCTCAACTCAAGGCGAGTGCTCTACCACTTGAGCCACAAGGCCACTTTGGCTTTTTTCTGCTTATGTAGTGCTGAGGAATCCAAACCAGGGCCTCATGCATGCAAGGCAAGCACTCTGCCATTGAGCCAGTTTCCCAGCCTGACTACTTCTGTTTTTTAAGCTACATTGTCCTGCATATGTTTTTTACTATGCCTATGTTTTATTTCCTGGCTTCAGATATTTGAGTTTGCCCTGCTATCCTGATTTAATGATGAGGACTAAGCTCAGGGCAAAGCCCCTGAGCATCTCACCCCTTTTGGCTGTTCAAAGAGAATATTATATTGAAAAGTCAATGAAAACCTGACATAAAGCCAGGCTTCTGGTGGCTCACAGCTGTAATCCTAGCTACTCAGGAGTCTGAGATCTGAGACTCAAGTTTTAAAACAAGCCCCAACAGGACAGTCCCTGAGACTCTTATCTCCAATTAACCACTAAGAAAAACAACAGAAGTGGTGGCTCAATAGAGCACTAGCCTTGGCAAAAATGCTCAGGGAAAGCATGCAGGCCTTGAGTTCAAAAAAGATGGCACAAAAAAGGAAAAAAAGGGAGGAAGGAAGGAAGAAAACTTCTGATTTGTCTTTCTGGTATCTGTCTAAGGCCTGTAGGAAGTCACAGTTCCTATTTGCTCTTACTTTAGACTATATTCATGCCTCTTCACCAGGACCCTGCCTCACTTAAGAAACTGATGAGAAGTGGCACTGTGGCTCAAGCGGTAGAGTGCTAGTGAAGAGCTCAGGGACAGCCACCAGGCCTGGAGTTCAAGTCCCATGACTAATGAAAAAAGAAAACAGGAAGGAAGCAAGCAAGCAGGCAGGGCTGGGAATGTGGCTTAGTGGTAGAGTGCTTGCCTAGCATGCCTGAAAGCCCTGGGTTTGATTCCTCAGTACCATATACACAGAAAAAACCAGAAGTGACTGTGGCTCAAGTGGTAGAGTGCTAGCCTTGAGCACAGAGAAGCTCAAGGACAGTGCCCAGGCCCTGAGTTCAAGCCCAAGGACCAGCAAAAAAAAAGAAGAAGAAGAAGCTGATGACTGGAAAGAGTCTAGGAAAAGGTGATAGAGACAAGTTTGGGCTGGAATTTTCCTTTGCTAAGGATAAATGAGACTAAAGTATGAGACTGTTATACTTACTATTAAGGAATATATTCTAGATAACCTTATATAATTAAAAATTCTACTTTGGGGCTGGGAAGGTGGCTCAGTGGTAGAGTGCTTGCCTTGCAGGCATGAAGCCCTGGGTTCAATTCCTCAGCACCACATAAGCAGAAAAAGCCCAAAATGGTGCTGTGGCTCAAGTGGTAGAGCGCTAGCCTTGAGCAGAAGAGCTGAAGGACAGTGCCCAGGCCCAGAGTTTAGGCCCACAACCAACAAAAAAAAAAAATTGAGCCCAGTGTGGAGTACGCACTTATAATTTCAGCACTGGCTTTGAGGGAAGCCTGGGTTACATAGCAATACTCTGCTAAAAAAAAAAAAAAAAAACAGAAACTCCTCTAATATGTAAAATTATGTAAAATATATGTATAAGTATTTTTAACATCTTATATGCAGATGACGTTTACATATGCTTTTTTATTATTTTATTTTTTTAGTGCTGTGCTGGTGATTAAGCCTAGGGGCTCCAGTCTGCTGAACTGCTAGTACAGTACTCTGAGCTACATCTGTAGCCGACATGGTGTTTTTATTGTTTTTGGTTTTGGTGTGTGTGTGTGTATGGTAGGACTAGAGATGAACTCATGGCCTTCCACATGCTAGCAAGTGCTCACATTTGCTTGGGACAAAGGGTAACACTGAGATTGAACTCTGGGGGGGGGTTTCACGTTTGCTGGGTAGTTTCTACCGCTTAAGCCATAACCTTTCTTTTGTTCCTTTCTTTTTCTTTTTTGTTCGTTCTGTCTCTCTCTCAGAACCAGCTTGAGGGGCTGGGAAGGTGGCTTAGTGGTAGAGCGCTTGCCTTGCATGCATGAGGCCCTGGGTTCCATTCCTCAGCACCACATAAGCAGAAAAAGCCGCAACTGGTGCCGTGACTCAAGCCGTAGAGTGCTAGCCTTAAGCTGAAGAACTGAGGGACAGTGCCCAGGCCCAAAGTCCAGGCCCCACGACTAACAAAATAATAATAATAATGATAATGATGATGATGATGATGATGATCAGCTTGAGATCACATTCCTACTATCATATGTTTCTTGTATAACTGGCATCACAGGCACAAGCAACTATACCTGGATTGTTATTTGAGATGGGATCTTGCTAATTGCTTGCCCACGATTGGTCTCTGCCTCGTTAGTAACTGGGAATACAGCATGAAACATAGTTTATGCTTGCTGGGCATATGTCCATTTGATATACCTTTTTTTGAATTTGTGCTTTTTTTTGAATTTGTGCCAATATTTGAACTCAGGGCTTCATACTCTTACTTAGCTTTTTTGCTCAAGGCTGGTGCTTTACCACTTAAGCCATAGTTCCCCTCCTGGCTTTTGAGGGTTAATTGGAGATAAGAGTTCAATGGTCTTTTCTGCCCAGGCTGGCTTTGAACCATAATGCTCAGATTTCAGCCTCCTGAGTAGTAGCTAGAGTTACTAGTGTGAGCCACTGGTGCCCATCCACATAGACTTTTTTTTTGGGGGGGGGGGTCCGGTTGTGGGCCTGAACTCTGGGCCTGGGCCCTGTCCCTCAGCTCTTCAGCTCAAGGTTAGCGCTCTACCACTTGAGCCACAGCGCCACTTCCGGCTTTTTTCTTTTTGCTTATGTGGTGCTGAGGAATGGAACTCAGGGCCTCGAGCATGCAAGGCAAGCGCTCTACCACTGTGCCACCTTCCCAGCCCCACACATAGACTTTTATACTTCTTAAAATGTGAGGATGCTTTTTTTTCCCCCTCCAGATGTTGTACATATTGAGATTAATCTTAACATTTCAATTTCATAATTCAGGATGCTTTCAAAATGTAACCACGTAGGATACACACATCCCAAACTTAATCTTTTCCCTTTTTCTTGATTTCTAGATTCCTGTTAATTCGTTTGAAAGAATTTTGTGGAGAATTTCTCAAGAAAAAACTTCATCTTTCAAATTGTGTGGCCATTCATAGCTTAGCTCACATGTACACCCTGAGCCAACTTGCTCTGAAAGCTGCCGATATGATACGGAGGAATTTCTACAAAGTCATTCAGGATGAGGAATTTTATACTTTACCATTCCATCTCATTCGAGACTGGCTTTCTGACTTGGAAATTACTGTTGATTCAGAAGAGGTTCTCTTTGAAACAGTTTTGAAGTGGGTTCAGAGAAATGCTGAAGAGCGAGAGAGATACTTTGAAGAACTTTTTAAATTGCTCAGGTTGTCCCAGATGAAGCCTACCTACCTCACTCGGCATGTCAAACCAGAGAGGCTGGTGGCCAGTAATGAAGTTTGCGTCAAGCTGGTGGCTGATGCAGTGGAGAGGCATGCTCTGAGAGCTGAGAACATACAATCTGGCACATTGCAACATCCTGCTTCTCATGTGTCATTATTACCCCGTTATGGGCAAAACATGGATGTGATCATGGTTATTGGAGGTGTGTCTGAAGGAGGAGACTATTTGAGTGAATGTGTGGGATATTTTGTTGATGAGGATAGATGGGTAAACCTGCCCCATATTCATAATCATCTTGATGGGCATGCTGTCGCAGTAACAGAATCCTATGTGTATGTTGCCGGATCAATGGAACCAGGCTTTGCTAAGACTGTGGAAAGATACAACCCAAATTTGAACACATGGGAACATGTTTGTAGTCTGATGACAAGAAAGCATTCTTTTGGGCTAACAGAAGTCAAAGGCAAGCTATATAGCATTGGAGGACATGGCAACTTCAGTCCTGGCTTTAAAGATGTGACTGTTTACAATCCCGAACTTGATAAATGGCACAACTTGGAATCTGCACCGAAGATTCTTCGTGATGTCAAAGCACTGGCCATAGAAGACCGGTTTGTGTACATTGCTGCCCGCACTCCTGTGGACCGGGACACTGAGGATGGTTTAAAGGCTGTGATTACATGCTATGATACTGAGACTCGACAATGGCGAGATGTGGAATCGTTGCCCCTTATTGACAATTACTGTTTTTTCCAGATGTCTGTGGTCAACTCAAACTTTTATCAAACTGCATCGTGCTGTCCTAAGAGTTATTCTTTAGAAAATGAAGAGGCAGTAAAAAAAATCACCAACCATGTGTCTGATGAGATCCTTGAGAGCTTGCCTCCAGAAGTCCTAAGCATTGAAGGGGCAGCCATTTGCTATTACAAAGATGATGTCTTTATTATTGGAGGCTGGAAAAACAGTGATGATATTGACAAACAGTATCGGAAAGAAGCCTACAGGTACTGTGCTGAGAGAAAGAGGTGGATGCTCCTTCCTCCCATGCCACAGCCTCGTTGTAGAGCCACCGCTTGTCACGTCAGGATCCCATACCGGTACTTGCATGGCACACAAAGATACCCTATGCCTCAAAACCTAATGTGGCAGAAGGACCGCATTAGACAGATGCAAGAAATACATCGGCACGCCCTGAACATGCGGCGAGTACCAAGCTCACAGATAGAATGCTAAATTCTCTAACACATGCAGCTAAAAACTTCTCCCTGTGTCGTATGACTGAAGATACCCAGACTGTTAACTTGAAAAAGTATGTTGGTAACTTATTTTCTAGCTGGATTGATTGTTAGCCCATGTAAAGGAAGGGTAGTTAAGAACTGAAGAATGGGAAACTCAGTCCAATACATGGTAATCTTTGTTGTTTTGCAATCTTATATCTTTGTGTGGGTGTACTAGCTAAATCTTATTAAAGACAAGTGGAAAAAGCAGGTCTTGTTACTTGAGGCTGTTCTGCCAACCAGTTATAATTCCTTCGTTTTAGAGACTTGTGTTTTGGGCTTTAAGCACCACTTTTATTTGCACATTTTCTTTGATGTTCCTTTTCACTTTCTATAGAATGGTTTCACAAGATCAGAATTTATGTATTAAACTCTCATCTGCAGGAGGCATGTGCAATAGTAAGACTGAAACCTGAAGGAGAAAGCACAGTGTTTCAGGAAGATGCTTTTAGAGTATTTACATTGATGTTTTGTTGTATGTGTTTATCTAGAAATGGTGTTTTGTTCATATAAAGAAGAGGTGACTGATGAGAAATTTGTGGTTACCTCATGTATTTAAATATATATATTTTCACTTTAGTAGCTGTTTATAAATTTCAAACCATCGCTCTGAGACGATGGCAATTGGCTAGTATATTAATCTTTAGCTGATTGATGGAATGCAGACAAAGTTACATATATGAAATTTGTTTCTCTAAGAATTATAACTATAGACTGAGAAATCAAAAGAGGTGCAAGATCGAGGACATGTTAATGAACTTAAATAATGCCTATGACAATCAACACTCAATGCCTTCAGTTTTAATTTTTGTTCTAATACATACTATATTGAATCTTCCTCTTTTTTTCCCTATAAGCAACTGTTTTCAAAATGGAAGAGAATAACAAGTTAGAAAAATATTGCCCTGCTTATTTTATCCAGTTACCCTGCACTTTCATTAGAACTTTGCCTGAGCCTAGAATACCAAATTTGGGTATATAGTTTTGGCTTAAAAAAATTTATCAGTACAGTTATCCTTTTGTTTTTGTTCATTCTTTATTTTTGTGTATTTTTCACTTTTGTTCATTCTTCTGACACTCTCCCTAGCTTTACACAAGTTAGCACTCAGGCTGAATTTTTTAGTGTTCCGTTGGTCTCCTGATAATTTGCACTGTGCATCCACTTTTTTTTTTTTTCTTTTTAGGCACGAACTTGTTATGTAGCCTCAGTCTTCTGAGTGGTGGGATTACAGGCATGTGATAACACACCCAACTTATTTTTTATTTCTTAAAGAATAGTTCCCTTTTTAGACATTATGGAATACCATTCTAGAAGTCACAGTCCAAGATTTATCACTCTAGTTCTTATAATTAACCTTCTTATTGTGTGATCAGACATCAGATGAAAAAAGCACAACCAGAACATGCAGCTGTTTTGCTGCAAGACTTCATGTTTTAGCTCTTAGATTCTATATAGTAAGAACTTTTCCTGAAATTTCTAAATTAGTATCCCTGCCTAGAACAAAAGATTTTAATAAATCTATTGGAACTCTTACACTGGAATGAGGCTGGGAAATTGCAAATTGATTTCTATACAAGAATATATTACATCCTACTCTTCTACCTTTTTCTCAATTTCCATTTCTTTATAGTTACTTCAGTGATTGAGCAGCACTATAGCTTATTGATGAGGCCATGCAGTTAGAAATCATTGACTGAAGCTCCTGGAATTAACTTTGTTTCCTAAACTGTGTGACCAAACCTGTTCTTGGTTGTGTTGAAATAACTCAGTGTCACAAGGATGCGAGTTTTTCTCCAGAAGAGTGTGATATAGTTGGGGATGTTTTTTTTTTAAGAATTGTCTTGTGAGACAGTCGCTACCCGTTGTTTTGTTAGGGTTTTTACATGATATAGCAGAAGTTTTAGGTATAGTCTGGTTTTGAAAACTTGATTGAAACTTGTCTTTTTTTTTAACTCAGCAGCAGCCTAGGCCCGGGCTGAAAGAAGGGGGGTAAGTCCTTGCATGATGATGTGTGCAGGTTTTTCTGACTACTGAGTTTCTAATTTTTATACTTAAATTCACGTGTGACTTCACATCAGTAATTTGTGTTTCCTAAGTACCCTAACTTGTTAATAAGGATAGAAATCAGATTTGCTTAAATCTGTTCAAGGCTGACATTCTGAAATTCTAAACTGAAAGGAACTTGAGGATTTGGAACGGTTCTAAGTATGTTGGTGAGGTCTAATGTGGCTCTTTGGGAAAGAAAATTTCCTTTCTGATAAAAAGGTAAAGATTGTGTTTGGTGATATAACCAGTTAAAAACACAGCTTTTTAAAAGATAGCCTAAGGTGTATTCAAATAAACATTTTTTGTTGGTTTGTTTTTGGTGGAGAGGAATGAATTAGACAGAAGGTGATAACCATAAATATATATATATATATATATATTCTATCATAGATATTCAGGAGATCTGTATATAAAACTTCCAGGGAGGCTGCGTCTACCTTACCTGGCTTTCCTTTGACTCTACCTTCCTACCTATGGATTAAAAACCAGTTGTGTATGTGGAGAATGTCAGTCATGAGCTTAGTGTTTAAGTAATACATCACTTGCAGTTTTGCATGAATATTCTTGTGTATCTTAATAGTCAAATTTGCTTTTGTTGTGCCAGTCCAAAATAACTTTACTAAGAGCTCTTAAAATTCCGTCAGCATCAGTTTTGTTTTGATCATCTATCTGGTTGTGTGTAGTATTTCTGGGACCAAAAAAGTGAAACATACTAACCTTTTTAATAGGGAACTTAAGTTTAAAGCTGGAGAGAAGTATTTATGGAAGCTTGTGCATTTGTGTGTTTTAAACCCTTCCAACTGCTGGTAAGGCAGTTCCTACTGCACACTTTATTATTATCTCTTGACCAGTGTAGCATGTGATATGTTTAAAATAGTTCCTTTTCCACTTCATGATCCTGCTATCAACACCTATAATATCATAAAGTAGACAGGAATTGGTACTTTCCTCAAATGAAGCTTCCATTAAGGGCATGCTGGCCACGTTTCATGACTTTGAACGTGCACAGTATTGTGAAGCCAACACTCGGCCTGTACTAGAAAAATGCAGTGCTGTAACTGTAGCTTGTTTTTTGTCATTCACAGCTCATCACTCCAGTTTGTTTCCTTCTTGAAAAAAGTCCATTTTGTTGTTGTTATCCTTATGTTACAGCATGTATTCTGGTTCTTGGAAGCAGAACATCTCATAGTTGAGTGCCATAATACAATAGCATAACAGAATAGTCATTGTGCCTCAAAAAATTTAATTAGGTAGCCAAATTACTGCTCTTTGTCAGTCCCTTGTGGGACTTCTGTTTTACTCTGTGACCGTTGCTACAGTGTCTTACCTTGAAGCATATGTGCTAGAGTCCGTGTTAACTTAATCCTCCTGCTGCATGCACTTGTGAAAAGCAGTGCTTGCTTGGTGTTTGAAGATTTTATAACCCATGTCTAGGGCTTGTCAGTTGTAAAATAAATAGTGAGTTGGTAACAGTTTTTTGGGCTAGTGGTACAAGCCCGTTTGCAAGGTCTTGACTTTCTCCCTTCAAGTCAGAGATGATGTAGTATTTAGAATGCCTAGAGACATTATGTTGTAAAATAACTTGTTTTTGTTCCTAAAACTATCTGGTTCTGTCTTTAAAGCTACTAATTGTGTCAGTGTACATTTTCAATAAACATATTTCTTTAGAGCTGGCTTATACTGTGTGATTGTTTTCTTAATTGGGCATTGTTGAAAGTGATTACCATCTTCCTTACTCCCTCATTCATCCAACCCTATTTCCCTTAAGTTGAACATTTTCCAGTACTCTTACAGGTTCAAATACTGCATTTATTTAAAAAAAGAATTAATTCTTATTGCTTAGACTTTTTATTAGCTAAATGAAGAGGCTCATACAGGTAGGGTACTTGTCGAAGCGGAATACTTTACTTCATCTCGCAGTGCTAATCCTGTGAAGTTGTCCCGTCTGGCTGCATATTCCCCAACATTGGCCAGCCCTGGTACCACGCAGCAGCTCAGAGCACTGCGGTATATGCTCATGTCATGAGCATCATACCACTCGTCGGTCTTTTCATCATAGCACTCAACATTAAAGGTGGTGGTAAAGCCGTTAAAGCCCCCCACCACAAACAACAGGTCATCCACTACCTCGATGCCAAAATTGCTACGAGGATTAAACATAGTGGGTATGGTGCGCCAGGTGTTGGCTACTGGACTGTAGGCTTCTGCGCTCCGGAGTCGATTAGCCCCATCAAAGCCACCTACCTGTGGGTAGCAAAAGAAACACAATTGGCTGCCAATCATTGCATCTGGCCACTGAGGAAGCCCCGGATGGGGAGGGCCAGTGATACCATGCCTCTTCCTATAAATACTTACCCATGGTATTCTAAACCTGTTTTGCTAATAGTAAATCTGGGGGTGTCATTTTGTTTGTGGCCATAGATGATAGACTCACCGCGTATACATGTTCCCCATAAGCAATGACACCTATTCCACTCCTCCTGCTCCTCATGGGTGCTATGACTGTCCACTGATTACTCTCAGTGTTGTACACTTCTGCTGTAAACAGGCATTCATTTCCATTAAACCCACCACATATGTAGACCTGAGGGAAGAAAATACAATTACTAAGTACCAGCCTCTTTTTTTGTTGTTGGTCATGGGGCCTGAACTCTGGGCCTAGACACTGTCCCTCAGCTCTAGGCTAGTGCACTACCACTTGAGCCACAGCACCACTTCTGGCTTTTTCCGTTTATGTGGTACTGGGGAATTGAACCCAGGGCCTCATTCATGCAAGGCAAGCACTTTATCACTGAGCCACCTTCCCAACCCCTCCCTTTCTTCTTTAAACAATGCAAAATAGTAGCTATTTGCATGGTATTGGTATTAGAAGCAGTTTAAACATGATTTGAAGCATATGGGGGGATGTGCATAGGTTATAAATCTTTTCTTGTGTGAAGGGCTTGGGGCTTTGAGCTCCCACAGAGCATTTTTGCTCAAGTATGGTGCTCTACCACTTGAGCCACCTCCACTCTGATGTTTTTGCTGGTTAATTTGAGATAAGAGTTTTGAGGATTTGTCTGCCTGGGCTGGCTTTGAACTAAGATTTTCATATCTCAGCCTCC